GACAGTTCTTTATCCACTGAGTGGTCCATCTTTCAGGTGTTCAGGAGATTCAGAGTTGTTTCCCCTTGTGCATGAAACTTATCACTTGCTAGTATTAGGTACCCTTCTCAAAGAGATTACATTATCTTCAAGAGATGTTTAATGAATGTGCTCCACAAGTCTGCAGCAAATAGTTCGATGTCCTCACAGGCAAGAAATAAATTGTTATTCTCAGCTGCTCCTCTTAGATAGACAAGTACTCTGTGCCCCCCCATCTGCCATGCAAGGGGTGAGAGCATACGTTGTGACCCTCCTTCTGCTTTTCTGTAGGTCACAGAATTACTGGGTCTTAATCATGCTCCTGATTCCTAGCTCCTTTTTCCACCTTGACTAGAGGGTTTCTTTAAGTTCTCATAACTTGATAGGTGTGTCATGCAATAAAAAAGGAAAAGAAGCTGAAGCCTTGCCATTCCTTTAGTGATTCTGAGAGTGGTCACGTTGTTTAAAGTAGCCTTTTTCACCTTTGTGGATTTTAATACCCCTCCCACGCTACTAAGTGGGATCTATTAATTTCCCTTTGGGGTGGTTAATATGCTTTTCCTGCTGTTGCATGTGGTTTCACTTTTCACTACACTTGTTTCTTATAGCTTGCAATCACTACCTCCAGATTTCTGGTATTCTTATAATGAGAGGAGAAAATGCTCTTTTTGTGTCTTGTTGCTACTTGTTGATAGTAGTAGGAAATAAATTCTTTTTTAGTCACTGTGATAGAATTGCAATTAATATATGCTGAGCAACAGATCCGCTTAAAATCTTTTCAAAGTTTACTGTGTGGTTTTGCCTGAGTTGTGATTTGATTTATCAGTTAAGATCAACAACATATTTCCCATTTCTGTATTGCGTGACTACTTAGAAAGAACTGCCAGAATAGACAAACTTGAATTTACCAGCCTCTGTCTATAGCTGGTGTTGACAACAAAACATATAGAGCATATGGGAACTGCTGTAACAATGTTAAATTTAGCTTTTGTTGGTGTATTTGGGCTTTTGTTGCAAGGTCAACCCATCCAGAAAAATCACCGGCTCTTTATCTCCTTGAGGCACTCTCTCTGAATGTAATTTAAAGCTGACCCCTCTGCCTTCTCAGTCCTTTTTGAAATGGGATCCCCACATCCCTTTTTTCCAATGCCACATGCATTTCTGGACTTTTTAGCATTGCTATTTTGGGAAAATCATTGAGGCGGAAGAGCTAAGAAAAGCCAGGGGGAGGGATGGGTGTTTTGTTTTGCATAATAGTAGGACAACAATGTCAAACTATTCTGTAGCATTGAGTGGCATTTGTTTTACATGGATCCTACATTTTAGAATAAGGAATACAAGGCGTGGAGCAGGGGAATTATGTGCTCACAGCTGTACACTAGGTCAGTGGCAGAGACTGTTTCCTTGTCTCCCAGCCCAGGCAGCTCTTGCAGATTCGGTTAGAATTAACTAGTAGGGGGTGGAATTTTATTGTCAAATAGTTGAGTAATTGTACATAACAGATTATTTTCTCCAGGAAACCATCAAGAAATGAAAATTTGGAAAATGGTTTATTTTTAAATGCTATCATTATTCTTTAATTTATTTAGCCATATGCATTAGTGTTTCTCAGTATCAAACAAGCACTAATAATTAAGCAAGAAGACAATAAAACCATTAAAAAATAATAATACAGATAAGCTTTCAAGGATGCCTTCAACCTACTGGAGCCGTCCTTTGAAAGTGTTTCACAGCTTGTTCTCCGTTGCGGCTCACAGCTCACAACAGTCGGAAGACTGCGCAGAGCTCAGCCCAGGTGAGAACTGGGACGTAGAAGCAGTCGGATGGGCTCTGCTGGGATATGGATAGGGGATAATCCCATCCTGTACTTCTGGGGGCGCCAGCTGATACTGCTATAAGCTCCTGACAGAAATCTGAAGATATTTTTCTCTAGAGGTCATCTCAGAGAAGGGATGTGGCACTTATAGTTCAGCTAAAGGAGAGTAAACAGAACTGTGTTTAAACCTATTAAAATGTATGAGTAATGTGATGCATCCAAATAAGTTCAATTGCATTGTTCAAATTAACATTTTCATTGTAATTAATGTTACGGCTGTTGTAGTAATTGGCAAGTGGTGTATCTGAAAATGACATAAAAGAAATGTTCAGTTAGGGGGGAGGAGCATGCTTTGCAGGCTGTGCCTCTGTGGTGCTGGATGTTGGATCTTCAGCACAGTGCTAGTCAGCGTCAGGGCAGCTTTTGGGGGTCCTGGTTTTCCTCAGCTGTGATGAGGAAAGACTTTATATGCCAACATTCCAGCCTATATCCACCTTAACCATCAATGTAGCAAAAAAGGCAGCTTACCTTTAACTACCCTTCCTGATTCACTTCATATTCATTGTCTTATAAGGCATTCAGACCTTCAATTTAGTATCATGAACAAACACGAAAAAAGGACAGAAATAGCTTCCTGGCACTAACAACCCATTCTTTACATAGCTCAAATAGATTTATTCAGGTCAGAAATCAAAGACAGTTTAATTTCTGCAGCTGGCAAGAGAACTATTAAAGTTTTAAAACTTCACAGACAGGAGTACCTTAAAAATCGTACTTCTGTCTGAATATTTTATGTACAACATTTACAAGTGACAAGAAGATCATGGTAACTGAAAGAAATGAGTGGAACGTTTCTTCTTATTTCAGTAGTGTTTACTTCACGTATGCATGTTGTCACTCATACCTTTAAAATCAGAAGCACAGAATCAGTGACTTTTTGGCCCTGTTTCTGTGCGTATTTCACACAACAGAAAGAGGGAGAAGAGCATTGGAGAAAAATTTGAAGACCTCTTCTTTTCTCTAAAGAAGTCGATCACAAGTAGTCTGAGTGGATGCACTAAAATTGCTTGTAATCCATTTTTAAAAGAGTAAGCCTGTGTGACTTCACTTTCTGGTGTTGCTGAAGTCTGGGGAAATATAGATAAGAATAAGTGAGAATTGGAAAATAATTCTATATTTTTAAGGTGTCTTTCGTTAGACAATAAAATAACTATGAACTGTACTTTGAAAGAAATTGTGCTATCTTCTCCATGAATGTTTATGTTACTGTATCATGTCATTTTTTACTACTGTGACTTTTAGATATTATTAGTAGTATTTTAATTTGTATTTTCTTTCTAAAATTTTAAATTATGCAATAGCTTCACAATACCAATTTATTGTACATATAACCTGGATATCTAGGTATCTAGTACTAAAACCACAAGAAATGGATTAAAGAAAAATAGACCAATTGCTTTCAGTACAGGTCATTGTAAAGCAACATAAAAAAATCTTCAAATTGAAGTATTTTTCATACCTGAGTGAAAATTTATGTTAACCTCTCTGTGATATTGCCTAGTCACTACTAACAACATTGATTCTTCTTCCAAGCCGAAATGCAGCTTTTTTGTATGCTTTGACTTTCTAGCTCTATGCAGGATCAGAGGCGCAATTTTTGCTGAATTTCCCGTTGAATTGCAAAGCAAGAAGGAGAAAATCTGTTCTTGTTCATGTCCAGTGTCTGCTTTGCAGACCTTTGTGTCTCACTATGTGCCCAGAGATCGCCCTACGCCTACAACTGTCACAAGAAGAATTATGTTTACACTGTTCTTACTAGCACAGATACTCCTGGGTCAAAAGTTTCAGACTTGTTCGGAAGAGATATCTGGCTGCCTGGACAGGATTCAAATATTTTTCTTACTTATCTGATGATATACATGCTGTTTCAGTTTGGTTTTCATAGTTATGCATACTGACAAAAGCGCTGTTTGACTGACATCACCAAAGGACCCAAGAAGGTGCTGACCATCCTATAAGATGTATTTCATGATCTCACATGGACAGCCACAAAAAAATAGACTTTTAGTCAAAGGGATCAATGTTCCCTATTATTATGGGCAGATCAGTCAGTAATTTTGCTACTAATGCAGATATCAGCATTTGGATGTGGAGAAGGTAATGGGGATAATGAGGACTGGCGCTTTCCGCTATCTCAACAGTAGTGAATGAATGGATTTCTTGCAATGCCTAATTTTAATTTAAAAATGCATTAGAGCACTTCTCCTCCTGCTTCAATGTGAATTCTGATTGAATAGCATCAACAATGTACTTTGCCTTCTTGTGTATTAATTAATTTTATTCTCTGTGCCGCAGTATTCAAAACCTGATAGGCATCCTGGGCCTATTCTGGACAAAGTTATGGAGTCTAGTTTTTCAGGCCCTCAGTCTTTCCCAGAGGCCTTGTCTCCTGACAGAGGACCACAGCCCAGCAAGCAACATAGGTAAGCAAGCAGCTGCCTGGCGGGAGGTGTGGTTGGGTGCCGAGAGGTGCCACTGAACTGGAGATACAGGAGCGAACTGGGGATACAGGAGCGAACTGGGGATACAGGAGCGAACTGGGGATACAGGAGCGAACTGGGGATACAGGAGAGGGACGGCTGCACACTCTGGCCAAGGGAGATTCTGAATGGTCGGGTACCAGCAGAGCCTCAGCCGACCGATTAAGCAGATGTCAAAGCATTTTCTTAGCTGCAGACATAAAAGGTGATAACGATGCTCCCTTCATCTGCCTTTTGTAACAGTCCTGGAGGAAGCATTTAAAGACTGTGGACACAGACCAGTGAATAAAACAACGGTAGTTTGAGAAACCATTAAAAACAAGGCTTCCCTTATCAATGGTTGTGAAGTTAATGTCTCATTTGCTGCAGAAAAAAAAAACTTCCAGCCTTTCTCACTAGTTTTTTTTTGAACAAATAATACATGAAATGAATAATGACTTGTTTTTGAACACACAGTGGCTTTTGAAAACTGGTCTTTAAAACATTTGTATGGATGTTTCCAAGAGGAAAAAAAAAAGAGAAAAGTCAGCCATCACTGCATGGCATTTGGATTATTCTGCTTATAACCTTTTTTGGATGAAAAATAGTGCAGATGCTTCACTACAAGACTAGAACCCAAACTTATGTCTGGTATAAGCAAAAGTGTTGGTGGAATGGCAGTGATAATGTCTGATCCAGAGCACGCAGAGAGAGGAAAAAAAAAGGGTGAGAAAAATGAATTCGGATTTTTTTTTACCTAGATAGTCTGGAGAGGAAGTCTTATTTATTAAAAGGATTTTTTTTTCTTAAATTGCTAAAAAAAAAAGTCTGAGATTGCATGAGGTTAGCTTCTGTAGTATTTGGTGCATTTTCATTGCAGTCCTTCTCTTTTGAATTAATGATTTCCTTAACCTACCAAACTGTAGCCAGGAAGGGATATTTGGGTCCTATCAACTTCTACCTTACTTAAGCCTTTAATTTGACATTAAAAAAATAATGCCAACTTAAGATTTATTGCACAAGGCCAGTGTAAAATATGCAACAGACTTGAACATTTAAGATTTATAAGGCTGTCTTTAATTTATGCACCATGTGACAGCTTCCTAATTCACAGTTTCCTTAGTTTCTAAATAGTGTTCAATGTGGCCAAATGAAGAAACTTCTTTTTTTTACCAGGATACATTTTGTCCTAAACATCCCTTCATGCCATTCCAAACCTGGCATGAGCCTGGAATAATTACAGCAGCTCTGCAGGTTCTCTGTTTTATGCTGTTGTTAAACTACATTATTGTTTTATTTCTGCTTACTATGGAAATATTTGTTCCACAGCCAAACCTGTTTTCTCTGCTGGTGTTTTCAAGGGCACTAATGGTTGGTGATCTGTTTCCAGTTCCCTAAACCAATACTATTTTGGACTGGCAGTAAGACTGTCAAGGTGGGGAATGATTTGGGGTTGCTGAAAGTTGACTGACAGAGATCACCTCATTATATCACTCAGATTGCTAGATAATAGCAATTTTATATCTCTACCAACCTCAGCTGCATGCAAAGAACTACCTCAGAGGTTGAACCAAAAATTTGAATCTTGCTCCTAAAATATATTGCCTGTATTATGCACTGTTATTACAGTAGAAAAATTTTTCATCATCTGCTTGCATATGTAAAACAGCTCTTAGTACTGTCAGAACTGGAAAGTAATAAAAGTCAGCATACAATGTGCTCAAAAGTTCATCTTAGATTATCTGTTGGTTTTAGTAAGAAGAAAACCTGTACCGTCTTAATTTCTAACAGATAGAAACAAATCAGAGTTTTGCTAATTATGGGAATGAGTTGTGATCCCTTTGAACAGCAGTTTTCTTGGTAATTAGTCATCCTGACTTTCATTCATCGATTCAGTCACCATCGATTTTACAAGGATTCATTTCAGAGAATACCATGATAAAACCCAGAGATGCTTTCAGCCCAGAGCAGTGGTATTGTCTTACAAAAATGACAACATAGGATAAATTTACTCTCAAATTTCAAATAAATTGAGTTTGCATTTTTAATGAACTTGTAACACCATGAAAATCAGAGTAAAAACTTTTTTTGGATTTAGTAAGCATTTTACTCTTTATGCTCCCAATAGAATTGATTCTCTTCAAATCAAAAGAAAGAGTAAATTATAGTTATTCTGTAAATAAAAGTATTGAATTTCAAAGAACATTCTTAGTTGCTTTAGTTCATCAATATCTGTTCAGGAAGCCTGAAAGGAAGAAAATATAAGGAATCTCATCTTTTCCCAAGGAAAAAAAAATATTTTCTGGAGAAATTTGTTAAAAAATGAATGCCTAAAATGAATGAGGTATAAGGAAGGAAACAAACTCTGTCACAGAGGGCAAGAAGTCATCCTTAAAGTGAACATTTCCAGGAATCATTTAGAGATAAGAACTACCAATAATACTGTAAGCAATGCAATTGTTCTTGCTGCATAAATAAGAGGGATAGTATACAGGAAGAAGCAAAGATGATGGTGGGACAGAGATAATGTATGAAGCTGTTTGGGCAGTTATGAATGAATATATTTCATTTTTCAGTTAGGAGGATTATTTGAGGACGAAGATAGAATGGGAATAGAATCAAATATGTGAAAATAGACAGTACTACAGTCAAAGTGGAAGTAAAATGCAGAAATCAAAGCCCTCAAGCCAAGAGGTCTGGTTAATCTTGATCAGAGAATTCTAGAGTGACAACTGTCCAATGAAATTTCAAGTCTGGTAGCAAAACCTATCAAAATGGGAGCTCTACCATGTGATGATGGAATAGCAAATGTCAAATATTTAGGAAGAGGAAGAATTTATTGAAGGAACCAAAGACCTATTATATTGAATTAGACTAGTCAAGTCTTTAGGACATATATGGGGGAAGCAGATTCTTTGGGTATATAAAAAAGCCTGAAAATTGTCATGAGGTTTAGCAGCAGCCTGCAGCACTACACTGACAACTGTCTTTGTATTTGGTGTAGGTGAGCTGGATCTCTGCACAGACTCAGACAACATTTGTTGTCACATGTGTCTAATGCCTTTAATGGGAGAAAGTAGGGAGAGGCAGAAAACTACAACGAAGATACACAGAGGTGGCTAAAAGGGAGATAGTAAGGAGTTACATTGAGAAGGTGAGTGCTGGGCTGAAGACATGGAGCTCTCAAAGAAGTAGTCAACATTGAGGACAAATTTTGTTAAATGCTTTTGTGCATGGCTTTGGTGCAAAAAAGTTGGAACATACTGAAAAAATTAGCTAAAATAGAGGCTCAGTACAGATAAGGATCTGGATATAAAGAATTAATTTAATAACATTAAACAGTGGTGTAACAAGCTCAGCAGTACTAAAAACAGGTTAGGCATTTGCAAACTAATAACAAAATTTAAGAAACAAATGAGGAAGAAAAGTTTAAGTATGTACTACTTCGTCAAAGGAAAAGGCGAGATATACAACAAACTACAGCAAGCTGCACGTTACTTAATGATAACAAGGGAAAAGGACATCCAGGCAGTATTATGCTTAATGGTTACAAGACAGAAACTAAGTGTAAACTAAGCAGGCAGTATGATAGGCCTTGCAATACTTAGTGAGAAAGGGGAAAGGGAAAGAAAGAGGGGGAAGGACAGGGAGACAGGAGGGGAAAGAGAGACAGAGACACCAGTCCGGGTTCCTGCATTGGTCCTGCCAACAAGGATTCAAGGATACCATCATCTTTTCTTCTTCTCCTCCTGAACTTTTCTTCTTGGTGTCTTCATTTCTGTCTACATGCTCTGTCTCTTGTCAGTTCTGTCCTGTGTCTCCTGTCTTATCTAACTTTTTGCTTTATCCCACCTCAATTTATACACACTTTTTCTATATGCTACGAGACCAAGGCTATCCTCTCTCCTCGAGATTCCTGATCTCATGCATATTCAGGTCAAGGCTGTTCGAGGCATCTGTTTCCTGCTTCCCTCTACCACATTCCATTTGGCACTTGGTGATCCACTTTGCCACACAGGACTAGAAACTGGTCTTGGTTTTGACCAAGCTGGGTGTTTGTAAAATGCCAAGAAATGTTTAAGGCAAACATTCACACATCTGTCCACTACAGATGTATACTCATCATAAAAGGATTTAAACTGAAAGAAGCCTCAAAGTTTTCAATATAGAGCAACTTTCTGGAATAGTAGCCTGGATATCATTGTAGTTTTAGGATAGAGGTTGATGAACATATGATGAAGTCATAGTAGATGATTAAACTTAGTGTCACTGAGGTACCTTCAAATGCTTGGTTCCCCTTTCCTATTCTATGTGTCTATGTGGCGGAATCAGGATGGCGACCAGATGATACAGGTAGCATTGAAGGATTTATACAAAGTCCCCAGTCAGCTCCGGCACATGCTATTCCTGAACGTATGAATATGTAATGGAAGCAACCTGACCTGCTGCAACAGCTCCTAAGTACAATCTAGGAAACACAGGTCATCTTGCCGTTGTAGGTGAGATGTAATCACATATTGGAACAGGATACTAAAGAGAAAAAGTGATAAAACTATTAAGTCAGCTCTCCTATGCCACAGCATTTTTGGCGTGATAATCTCCTTGCAATCTTAGTACTCTTCTATTTACACACAGCTTTGCTGAAGTCCCAAACATGATGTTAACTTTCACCCTTTGGGGATCAGTCTGTAACACGCGCTCCAGCAGAGAGTCGCTCATTGTGTGTCATCTCATTCTTGTAAACAGTCCGACAAAAAGGGCTTTGTGATACAGTATTATTATTGTTGCATGGTATTTACTGAGAGATGCTTATGTTCTCAGGTATAACAGATTCTTTTTATTAAAAATGAAAATTGGTTGAAAGTCTGCATAGTTTGTCTGTAGCAGTAGACTGTTAGCAGTAGACTGTCAAACAGCCTGAGAACTCCTAGGGAACATCAGAAGGCACTGTCCATCTGGCAGCTACCTCTGTCACTGGGGTATCTATTTAATGTTTCTGTCTTGTCAGGAGAAACCCCATGGCTTCAACCTGATGTTTGCATCGTGATCAGTCGGTAATATAGTATGTGATATAATATGCCTCTCTGCATAGTTTTGGTATGTACAGAGCCAGAGTATTTACAATCAATTTTAGAACTTTCCTTCCTCCCTCAGCTCTGCATCTTTTTTTTTTGATGAATTACAGTCATGCAAAAAGGGGAAATAATAAGGAGAAGAGATACACACACAACCATGGTTATAAGCACTGTTTCTGTGGCTCCATTGTGCTTATTAAATAAGAAGGGAAGGATTGACATCCCATCTAAAGTTTTGACACCTTAGTTTGTCATCCTCTTAGTAATACTTTTCATGTTCCTGTTGACAAAGTTACTTCTGAAAGTGTTCATAATGTGATGTATAATCGATTTTGTTAAGTAGTTAAGTAAAAAGTAGTACAGGAGATTTCCTGCAGTTACTGTAAATTCACTGAAAGGCTTCTCCCCTTCATGAGCATGGTTAACTGCTCTTGAGAATTTTATATGTGCCCTTGGAGGAGAATACTCCACCTGCTGAGACAGATTTTGTTTTTACTCATTTGCTCAACCTAAAGAAAATATTCGCACACCACAGTTTGCAACAATGAATCTCAAGTTCTTAATTAACTTTAGAGATGGTTGAACAACTTTTTTCAAACCATTAATTTATCAGAATTTTATTTCTCCTTAGTTTACAAATTACTTGTGAACCAGTTTAAGCATATTCTGATTTTCCATTATTCTGGAGTAATTGATTCATAGATTTTAAAGACGTATCTGCTACAGCTTTCCTTATTGTTCTGTTTTATTGAACAGCTCAGTTACATGAGCTAGTTTCTTTTATGCAATTAGACTGGAGAACAGGGAGCAAGAAGCCGTAATAGTTGCTAAAGGAGAATAAATTCCCTGAAGAAATCCAAAAGGCATTGTTTTCCTCAGAGAGATGAACCCTTCACATGAGAAATAGAGCAGAAGCCTGAGAGAAACTGCATTAACAGTTTTGGGGGCAGAGTATGCTGATGTTCATAGCAGTTTTGTGAAAAAAAGCAAAGCTTTATTATGCTAGAGTTATTTTTTCACAGAACTTTTAACAAAAATTGTCTTTGGTGCTTCAAGTAATGTGTGTTATCCCATGACTTGCAGCTGCACTGTCCATAAATATTTCCTGGTTCTTCTTAGTGAATTTGCCTTGCCTGTGTCCACAAATGAGTTTTCTTATTTTTCCCCTCCATTTTTTCTGTTGAGGATGTTGAAAGCACAAGACTCTCACATTAGCGACAGCTCTGTTGCTTAAGCTCTGCTGGAGCTGCTGTGATTGCAGGACAACACTGGGATGTGCCAGATCCCTTTGCTCTAACCAGCCCACGCTCCTTTAGCAGCCTGTAGTGTCCAGTGTTAGATGTAGCAACAAGAATACAGTGCAAGGTGCAGAAAGTCCCAACGGACTAATTTATATGCACCATTCCTGGAGTTTATACCAGTCATCTCAGGTACGGCTGTTACAGATACAGTGCTTTTGTGAATTTGCACGTGCTTGTGATTAGATGGCAGCCCATGTGCTCTCATCCAACTAAGAGGATGTACAAGGGCATCAGACCAACCACAATTAAAAAATTCTAGTTCCAAACATTTGTAATCAGTCTAAAGTCTGCTAAGTTCATCAGCTTGTTGATTTTTGTAGTGCATTGATGAATATAGTGTAATCAATAAAAGAGACCTAAAATTCGTTACCCATCACAAATTATTCATTCAACTGCATCTTTTAAGATACCCTGCTGTAATAATCTCAGACTTTCCTGTGCAGAAATTGTCAATTGTTTTGTGATATGGTAGTGTTATTCTACAGAATATGAAATATAGCTCACAAATTGAACTCGGCCTTCAGAAGTTGTTTTTGCAGCCTTCTTAACAGTTAAGGAAAAATCTGTTTAAGGTAGCATTGAAAATCCTTGAGGGAGTACTGTTACTATGGGGTATTGATCTTTTCGATTAAGAAGCACCAGGAAAGTAAAAGTGGGGAAGAGAACAGAGCAGAGACCATGGTGGAACACTTCTAGCCTGAGCAGCAGGATTCAAACCATTGAATTTATTTCTTAACTTTTTTACTTTGGGGAGAAGAGGTCAGCTTTAATGGAAATGTGCGCGCCAAGAGAAGTTGTCCAAGATACTTGGTTCATACAAGAATAAAGTTCCCACTGGGTATAAAATGCAGATTGTTTTTAAGTCTCATTGTAATAAGAAAAGAGAAGCAAATGTATCAAAAATCTTTTGGATAGCTGAATTGTATCAGATACTGAATTCATTCACGTAACCAAAAGTAATGACTCTTAAAATGCATCTACAAAACCTGTATTAAAATATCATTAATGATGTGACAGAATATTAGGAGATGTCAAGAGAAACAGAAGCAGCTGGAAAATTAATAGCCAGTCACACTGTGCAGTACCGTGACCTGTTGACTGTAGAAATAGTTTGTATCTTGCCCCAAATCTCTGTTCTTTTATTTCTGCATTATCAGCAGCTGAATTTATGGTTTATATACCAGAACTACGGGTTTTAGCTACCTTTTAATTCCTACACACAATGGAAAAAAAAATTCTCCTTCCAAACGCTACAAAAATGTTTACAAAAGCAATTTTCTAAAATAAGTAGCAAACTATTACTTGTTTTTATCATATTCAAGCTTGTATTATATCACATAAAGAAACAATACAGTATTTACCAGTGTATAGAAACAAGAAAACAATCTGTGTGTAAACTGAGAATAAAGCAATATAGAAAAGAAATCTTGTTGATTGTGGAGAAGACTTGTGTCGTAGATGGTTTCTTCAAGCTGCAGTTCATGAGCTTCACTTATATTCTTCACTTATTTTTTTCTCCCAATTTAATGTTGTTGTATCAGGAAGCAGCACCTCGTAGGCTGATAGATGATATAATGGGCTGTTTGTTTATACTGTCCGAGGAACCAGCTCTGTATAGCAGGACTATGTTACACAGCACAGAAAAATAGAAGCCTCCTTCATCAAGTACAAGAAAGTATTTAATATACCAGACAATTGTTTTTCATTCGTAGAAGAGAGCTGATGTATTAAATATGGCGTAAACAACACCTAACTGTGGATTATAGTATTATATTTCCATAGAGAATTTCTATTAGTGTCATAGACCGCCACAGCAAAGCTTATAAAAAACAGTAATCCATGTGTTATTAATCCTGAATTTTTACTTTGCAGAAGTTTACCCATTTGCTGTGATAATTTTTACTGTACTCTTGGTGTTGTTCCTAGAAGTCTCTCTTCATGCTGCAGCCCAGGACAAAAAAGTGGGATGTTACATAGAAATGCCTTTCGGAGGACTCCTCCCTTACCTCGGGGTAGGTTCAATGGAATTACAGGACCAGCATATCAACAGCTGGAAGAGTCAAGGATGACGGACCAGGACACAATACCTTGTCACGGGTAAGGAACCACATAACTAAGTGAGCAAGTGGCTGCCCTTAATGTGGTTGATATGCTTTGCCAGTACATTTCAGTCCTTCCAGCTTTGTTGCAGTGTACTGTGGATCCAGGGTTCATGGCACTGAAAGCAGAAGAATGTTTTCAGTGTACAGACTCTGTGAAGGTGATGCGCTCTTAGTTAGCCAGCTGCTCTTTTTAAGCCTTTCAAAGGCTGTGGAAGGAGCGATTAGAACAAACTGTGATTGGCAATGTTACTCTTTATAAGTGATGCTTTTTCTAGCAGTGCTGTGATGTTCCAGTAACTTTTGCACAGCACCTTTTTCTTCCATCAGCACAGGGCAAATAAGAGACAATAATTCAGAAGTCCAACTTTCATGGTTTTTTTTAGTTAAATCCATGTACAGTGTGAAGTGTATTTGCTGTAGACTGAAGACCAATCACTCTGTCTTTGAAAATGCACAAAGAATCCATATTTTTTCTTTTGTAATTGGGCTCATTAGCATATTGAATGTGAGCCCCAGCTGTACCTAATGTCTGAATTTCAGAAGTGCTCCTGAGCACCTGCAGCTCCCTTTGAAGTCTGTTGAGATTGCTGAGGTATTTTGCATGGTATTTCCATATCCCTATAGATTTCCAAAGGCTTTCTAGAATCACTGCAAGCATATTACACCTAAAACTAGGAGTGGTGTCTGGAGTGGACTAAAACAACAGCAGTTTCATTTGGGTGCGTGTAAGTCACAGCGAGGTGCAGCGAACTGAGCAGTGACACTGCAAGGAGGCAGCTGTGTGCCTTTTGTGTCGGAACTGGCTTTATGAAGTGCAGAAATGAGCTCACTTACATGTTTAATTTTCCTCAGGGAAGAAAGGAACTATTATCGCTGTCCACTCTGACCTCCTGGAAAATGACAGACACAAGTGCTGACCAAGAATCAGCGCAGTTACACGCATGTGTGTCGTGGCACACTTGGGCACACGCTTCCTGCTCGCCGCGCTTTCCAACCCGCTGCGGGATTGCCCAGGCTGGGCTCCTCTGTGAGGGAGGTGCTTGTCCCACTGAATGTTTTGTAGCTGGATCTACCTAATAAAGCTGGCGACAGTAATTAGGAATGACAGACCAAGAGCAGGGCTTACCTACTGAAGGGAGAAAGCAAAGCAGCGAAATGCCTGGTGACTTCTTCTAAGAAGTGCACACTTGTCTCATACTTCTTTCATTGTTAGTTTCCTTCTTCGAAGGAAAAACTTGTGTATTGCTTCTTGCAGTAAATATGTGATTGTTCGTTTGTAGGATAATGTGTGTTTAATTCCTTATGAAACCTGTGACATCGAATTCAACCCTTCCTGATAGGCACAGGCCAGCATCCTGCCCTCTTCTCTGAGCTCACTGTCACAGGCTCTTCCTAGGTTGAGAAGTGGGGCAAAAACAAGCAAAGCTGTCTTGTGGGTAGTTGTATTTATTCTTCTCTAGGAAATCAGTGTGTGATATTACAAATATCATCTTCTACTGGGCTATATTTTAAATTTGCAATTCTGCAAAAGGTTGATGTTTGGACCAGATTGTGACTCCTTCAAGCCTCAGTCCACTAATGCCCACTAAATCCATATTTTGTGCACTAGGGATGTCTGTAGAGTCAGACCTTCCTAATATCGACCCTGACGATGGGACCTTTCTCTGAAGGAGTGCTCTGAGTGCATCAACACCTGAGGTTGTGACAGGGAGTCACAGCAGCCTGTGTACATCACACATACAATACGAAAAGTCTTCAACTACTACCCATGAACATAAATTTTTAAAACGTCAGTGTTAGGCATGAAAACAGAAGCAATTATGTGATCTTATTTTATTACAGTGTTTTACTGTTGATGATTTTTATGAAAATGAAGTCTTTTAAGAGTGTTACAAAACATTTTGCAATTTATTTTGTGTTGCATCAACGAAGTAATCTCTTCAACCAAAATATAAGTACGCATCTTATCTCTGAACAAAAAAAAAAAATAAAGTGGTTTACCCTCCCTAATTCTGTGAGCCTTCTGAAGTTTATCCATCAGCAGCTCTGGCTGAAGTTTAGTCAGTTTTCTATGTTTATATTTGATAGAAAAGAGGCTAATTTACCTGATCAATTTTTGTCTAGTCCTGTAAAAGTGCTCCTCTTCCCATCCCACGCTGAGAAGAAAGCTTTTGCTGCCTTCGAGGAGCACCAGACCTCATTATTTGCATCAGGATCTAATGTTTGCAAGTATGCTACTTGAAGGAATAGAAAAACCTGCTTGAAATGAGGAGCTTAAAGAAAACAAACTATCTCCATGCCGGTCACATCTCAGGGACTGAGCTGAATCCCTGAGGGTGTCAGGAGTGGAATATGCAGTTGGGGGGGACAGCAGTTTGACCGCACTCTTGGCAGTGACAGCTGTTTGCATTACATGCTGTGAAGTGTTACAGCCTTAGAGCCCATAAATGTGTACAAATACAGATATAAATTTGTTTATATATACAAGACCCAGTGTGTGGTGTCTACAGGCGGAAAAAGGGGTATGTATGTACCGGGGTAGGTGCTTACAAAGCTGAACCAAAGCCTGGTGATGCCACTGGAATGACTCCCATTCGTCTTAATGGACCTTGTTATCAGGCTCATGTCCTGAACACCTGTAGCAATAGGTCTTATAGCAAAGTTATTGGTATTATGCTAAATAAAAAAACATTTTGTATTTTAAGTTCCAATCCCTGCTGTCTCTCTTTAATATCTGTTTTAAGGGGGCAGTAGGATTATTATGCTGCTTTCAGTTTCATTCTTTAATTTAGACTCTTAAACATGGTATAGCATAATCACTGTTGCACATTTGTAAATATTTGAGTTTCTGGTTTTGCTTGGGTTTAGAAAGATGGTGGAGAGAGAGCAGCACTTTGAAATACATGCACATGAATGAATATATTCAGACAAAATATTTTTTCAGATTAAAGAAAAGATACCTTAGGAGGAACTATGTTTCTGGGAAAGTTAATTATAGGAAAATGTAATTAAGATTCGAGGTCTAAGTCTTGTCTATGAAAACAGCAGCAGTTTGGTGCCACAAATAGAAGCATGGATCAGTTTGTAATTAACCAAAAGCTGAGTCTCATGTGGTTTAGAAGTAATATCACTACTCGTTTAATAACTTGCCTGTTGCACCCAGTGTATGTGCTTCAATGCAACTTTGGTCTTTGAAAGCTCGATGAGCACAGAGCAAAAACATGTAATTCTGGCATAAAGTATCTGCCTGTACGTCAAAAAAAATTATGCAAACATTTTAGGCATTGCATTTTCTGTTATTGCTGCTGCCAGTTAGTTTTCAAAATACCAGGAATAATCTCTCTCTCTTATGGAACTGGCAAATGTTACTATTTTCTCACCAAACCCATTTTAATTAAGCCTTTTCTTGGTTTTGCTTATATATCATCCATATAATACATCCATTGCATGTGAAATTCATTTAAAACATTCACTCCCTTTGTTTTCAGGGTGCAGCCCAGAATATATTTAGGGCCCGAATTGCCAAAAAAGGGAATAATGCAACTGATGCGGTCTCTCCAGCTATAGTCGTTTGAACAATTATATAATAATCAAAGGAAACAAGAATGGGCACAACCCAAAGGTCTGCACTGTTTTGTTTTCATTTCTTTTTTTTTTAATCGTCCTCCCTCAGGAATAATATCCCTGATCAGTATTTAATTCATACTGATTCTTGAAAACTGTTCTAAAAAGGCCCTCCAAGGCTAGAAGTGTGTCTAAGCATAGCCCAAATGTAATTAACCAAAAGCTGAGCCTCAGCTGCCTTGGATGTAAAATAAGAAAATGCAGCTTTATAGCATGTACTAGACATTCTAGCACGTATCCAAGAAAGCTGCTTGCTACGTTATTCCGTCAGGTCCCAGTTCCCAAAGCAGTATCTCTTTCCGTCAGGTAGCAGCCGATGTCACACCTCCCCCTCGCAGAGCTCCCAGCTACGGTTTCTGCTCTTTTGGGGCTGCACAGAGCTGCAGCCGTGCACGCACACAGGTTAACGTGTCAAGCAGTCGTGCAAACGCGGTGCCACCACAGACGAGTTAATTACGAGTCAGCGGTGCTCTGTTGGAAACGAGCCTAAAGATATCTCCTCCTCGCTCCGCTGTCTGACAGCTCGCCAGGAGGATGGGGCCAGAGGAAGCCTTTCCAGTTAATTAGCGTCACATGCTAATATTGGATTATGGCTGTTTTGTGCAGCTCACTTTCTTTTCCTTAGTCCTCTTTCTGCTAATGCCAGAAAGCGGCAAGGCACGTGTGAGTAGAGGGATCTCCCTGGTGAAGGCCAGCAGGCTTAAGCGGCTTTTGGAGAAATACCCTTCAAGTCAGAGCTCAAAACACCTGCTTCCACGCCAGATCTACATAGAATCATAGAATCATAGAATGGCCTAAGCTGGAAGGGACCTTAGATATCATTTTAATCCAGCCTCCCTGCCACCAGGGACGCCACCTCTCGACTAGATCAGGCAACACATGGGGACCGAATGGAAATTGAACCCGCAGCCTTACCGTTGTTAGTGCCACACTCAACTGACTGAGCTAACCATGTTGATTTCCTCATCCATGGGTAAAACACATTAGAGTTCGCCACTAGCTTACTTTGTTAAATAGCAGTATGATCACAAAACCGATTATAAATAAAATATGTTGTGGTACTGAGGTGATGTCTGTGGTCCTTGGCAATCATGAGTAGGAACTCTTAGAGCACCAAATTTCTAGTAATACTGCTTCTCAGCTGGGAAACATCTCTTTCTTTCATCATTATTTTGTATTTTGTATACTTTCAGTTTCTGTTTTTTAAGTATTTCCTCTAAAAAAACCACTTTCTGATCAGGAAAATTATTCTGGCTTTGAAAGGAAATGGAAATGTTGGTAAAAAAAAAATCACCCAAGTTGCCTCACAATAAATGAAATCACACTATGATATGTACTACTGGAAGGTAAAGGATTTTTTTTTTTAAACGCAAGATTAGAATATCAGGAAAACGCAGGCATTTGCTCAAGCCTGGTATATGAGCTCTATTTCCAGATGAGATCTGAGAGAACCTCAGGCGGCCCACATTTGGAGCACGGACTATTAAAAAAAAAATTTTTTTCAGAGGTGCACTGCACTTAGGTGCTCTGCTTGTTTGAAGGGGTGAACAGTCATTTCTATGTAAATAAAGACTACACAACCATGTTTTGTTTAAAGCTCTTTTTTTTCTTCCTGCACCTTTTTAAAGTGTTTTCCTAAAATAGCTGTTCGATATGGATAGTTCTGATGTTGAAGGAGGCATCAGTCCATATCCTCAGTTAGGAACGCAGGAATGGAATTTCAAATCTCATTTCAAAGGAAATTAATAATACAGTGTGGCACCTGAAATCTTTTAAAACAGAATTGTCCTTGTTCTCATACACCGGTGGGAAAAATGAAATTGAGAGAAAAGCAGTGAATTGCCACCGGCAGATCTGAGAATGAAACCAGGTCTCCAGAGCCTGTTGTTTTCCCCAGGGCCACACTGTTGCCAAGTGCTCCCAGTGCGAGGGACAAATGACATCTCTCTTCTGAGCACCATTCACCGACTCTGGCACAGCATTCC